AATACAGTTTCTCTAGTTTGATGTATTATTAGGTTAATAGTAGCGTTTTAATTGATTAACACAGCTACGCAACGAATCTTGCCTGAACATTTCATTCGTAAAAAATACATTCCAAACACAAATATTGAATCCGAAGGAAAGTTTTATCTATTAGTGAGAATCTATAATCGCAAAATAGTGAAAATATCATCATGAAATTTGTTTTGAAGCAGTCAAGTCATTCTCAAACTATTCTAACCCATCAGTTTTCATTTGTATCTTTCAAATCAGAATTATAGAAACATATTTTTTATAAAGTATGTAACGCTTCTACTCGGCAAAGAAAAAAGAGCTGAACAAATTGTACTGAAAAAAAGAGGATTATGTCTCAATATGATTTATACCTTTCTTTCTTAATTTATGTATGTTCTTGTGTAACAAAATTTTGTAATAGTTAGGCAGGTTACATTAGGTTAAAATCAAAAACAATCCGAAATCTACTCAAGGATAAAGTGCCTTAATTAAAAAAAAAACAGAGAAATTCAATTGCAAATCGTTTGCAATGTAATTTACAATTTGATATGATTTCTACCCTAAGACTGATAATTCACACGTTCAGATTCATGAACTAATCAGAAATCAATATCAAACATTCAACCATGCATTACCCTTTAATTTATTTCATTATATTGTAAATTCACGAGATGAGTTCACCTAAAAATATTACCACAGTGTTTGATCTCAATATCGTTCTTAAGAACAAAATGTGATAGATTTTATATGTAATGATACTATGTTGAAATAAAGGCATGTATAAATTAGTGATTATCATTTATATTTTTCAAGGATGTATGAGCTGTAAATTATATATCATATCCGACTAAAAACATGAGATACCATTTTTCAAATAGTAAGCCGTCTTCAGCTAACACTACTAATAGTCTAATCAACAAGTTCAAAAACATGAAAAATAGAGATAAAGGTCCTAAAATATGAGCGATAGCTCATTCGATTCGGAATCACCTCTAGAAGTGTTTTTGAAGAATTTTGGTTCAGGTAAAAAATTGCAATTATTATTAACAAAATAAGATTCAAAAAAATGGTATTTAGTTTTTCGTTAATAACTCAAAAAATATTAATATTCAAGCAATTTTGAAAGAAGCTTGTTAAAGAGGAAGAAATTCACGATAAAAAAGTCCTGACTCCCGAAAGTCTATCTCCATTATTTATAATTTTAATTTGACGTTGAAAATAGGGTTCCGCGCGGTTGTTACGGCATGCGCCTCTAAAGAGAGTTTATCAAAAGAAATAATTTTTTATAACATAAAATGTCATTTATAGCAAAAAAAAATTTTCAAAAATATTGAATTTCTCGATTTGTTTAAAACAATTTAATGAACAAATTACGTAAAAAATCCATATCCTATGTTAATAACTGCCATTGTTTAATGTGAAAACAGACATAGCTAAATATCAATTGAAAAAAAAAATTATCAACAGCCGCGCGCGCATGTCTTAACAGCCGCGCGGAACCCTATTTTCAACGTCAAATTAAAATTATAATTAATGGAGATAGAGTTCGGGAGTCGGATCATTTTCATCGGAAATTTCCTCCTCTTTAACGAGCTTGTTTCAAAATTGCTTAAATATTAATATTTTTTGAGTTATTGACGAAAAACTAAATACCATTTTTTTAAATTTTATTTTGTTAATAACAATTGCAATTTTTTACCTGCACCAACATTTTTCTAGAGGTGATTCCGAATCGAATGAGCTGTCGCTCATATTTCTAATAATAATAATAATACGTTTATTATTTCCCAAAAATTCACAACCAATATTAAGTTTCAATAAAAATAAAAAAACTAGGTAAATAAAAGGTGAGAGTTCAGTTTCCTCTCAACACCAGGAAGAGAGAAACTGGTCTTCCACTCAGACCCTTACTACAAACTAAACTTAAAACTAAAATATACCTACTGACTAGTACCAGTAAACAAGAAGAAGAAGAAGACTAGAGGAAAGCAAGAGAAAAAAAGATAAAAGAGAGAGAGAGAGAAAATAGGAAAGATAGGAACCCTTTTTATAATTTATTTTCACTTGTGAGGGCAGTGATTCCTTTAGGTCATGAAACCACCAGGTTGCATGACCTTTATCTCTATTTTTCATGTTTTTGAACTTGTTGATCAGACCATAATGAGGATATATATCAAGACTTTAATATCCACCGTTCAGATATATTTGGAAAACGATTATTCCAGTAGTTATCACTATTAATCATCTTTTTTACATCAATATAAAAAGCAATTCATGGTAGGTCGATAGCCGGGTAGTTCGGGTAGTGGATGAAAGCGATATTTTATAAAAAAATTGTTTTATTTTATATTGTATGGGAGATTTTTCTATAAATAATATATTTCATTTAGCTAAAAAAAAGCACTCAATTTATTCATTCAATTACGACTTTATGTCACGGATGAGTTCAATCTACACATGTCATCGATGAAGGTAAGTAATGCCATTCATTTGATTAAATCCCAGCCAAAGGAATTTTATTCGAATTGAGAGGGGTATAATTCAGTGTTCATAAAAAAGTATTTATTTCGAATGTATTTTTCTTTCGCAAGAACTTTTTTCCATTTTGTGTCTAGAAGTTACTTTTTTGCATAATATACATATCTTTGTGTGGAAATAATTCTTTGAAATTGATTGCTTTCTTCATTACTTTGCAAGATTCCGAAATTTTTTTTTGTATAAAAATGGAGAGTAAGAAAGCCAAAACCTTTCTTTACCAAAACGTTTATATGAAAGTAGCTGTTTCGAGAAGGCTTTCCTTCCAGTTTGTGTCTGAAAGTTACTTCTTTGCATGATATACATATTTTTGTATATAGTTAATTTTTTTGAAATTGATTGCTGCCATCCTTTCTCCGGAAGATTACCACATTTTTTGAATAAAGATGGAAAAGTAGAAAGCCAAAACCTTTCTTTACCAAAAATTTTTCTCTTCTGAAAATAAACTTTTTCTATCTGAGCTTATTTAACCATTTTTCTGAAATTTCTTCTCTATATGACAACACCACTAAAAAAATGTTTCGATTTTTCACCTTTTTTACAGTTCTGATATCACAAATTTGATAAAAGGGCTGTTGCATAAAAGTACCAAATATTAATCTAATACAGAAATTGTACATTTTTTGTACACTTTTCACATCACTGCTATATAAACAAGTGTTATAAAGGATATCACAATGATTAAAATTGAATGAAACCATAGAGTGAATTACTTATAAGTTAATTATACTCAAACTGCAGAGAACACAATATATGTAAGTATAGTAGCATCAACTACTCAAGTAAACTTTCAGAAAATATTCAAAATTACTTCTCTAAATATAAAATAACAACAGCTTTCATAAGTAATAATAATTTAGGCAGAACTCTGTTTAATGCAAAACCCAAACGAGATGGAACGAAAAAATCAGGTATGTATAGAATAGAGTGTGGCGAATGCTCTGCAGTATATACAGGCTAAACCGAAAGAAATTTTGACTTAAGGCTCCGTGAACACCTCTGTTTGGACAAAAAAATCTATAATGTATGAACATCTTCAAGAATCAAAACACAAGATAAGTAAAGATAACCTCAAATATTTGAATAGGATGGCGACCGTTGAATATGATTTTGATTGTCAAGTTGGCAGGAATTTGGTTAAAATGTTGAAGAAAACCAATTTCTAAATTGTCGACGTTTCGATACTTTATTGTTTAATCTTCAGGACTATTTAGGGTAACCTCAAAATCCTACACATATGTAATAAAGGGAAAAAATGAATTTGTTGGAAGCCATGGAAATTAACAAATCAATTAAAAACCCGAAATATATACCCCTATGCATCAAATCGATTCATGTAGGTCACCACCCTTGAATTTATAAGTTTAACAACCGCTATAATCTTCACTGTTGAATTCTAAAGTTGTCACCCTGGTTTGTTCAACTACCTGTCCTATCTTACTTGAAAACTCCAAATATAACCGAGTTGTTCAAATTTAACATTTTAGTTTCATACTTGAAGATATACTTAAATCCGAAACCGGTCGTATAAATAAAATTGACTAGTGTTAATTAGACAAAAGTGTTTTTATTCTTTGGGAATAAAAGTGATCATGAATTACCAAAAAATAAGTCATCAATAACACATATCATATGCATAAACATATTTCAATTTACATTTTCAAACCTGAGACTGATCTCTGAAACCAAACCTAAATTTTTGGCATATACCTAAATTCAAGTTGTGAGTCTCCTATTTTCAATGAAAAAATTATTACTTGCTGGCGAATAGACACATTACCAAATACCATATGTACGCATATGACATTTAACTAATTTGGATTATTTTCAGCATATCATATGATGACACTTCGAGAACTTCATTCAAGTCTATGTTGAAGCGATTTATTGCGTCTTCGATATATATTTGCAATCTATTTTCCACGCAGGTTTGAATCAATATTCTAGCTGAATTACTGGAACCAAAGTAATTGAGAGTAGTCTAAGAGAATTAAAATTGTCAATTTATTTGAAAAATAAATAATGTCTATTACGACATGAAAAATGATAAATCAAACTTTACATGTTTTTATACCACTTGTATTTGTAACTAAAATTACTGCAGTTACGTCCTACAAGCACATTTTCTAACTAATACAATAAATGAGTTTCGTCCTACAAGGATATTTTAAAACGAATACAATAAATGAGTTTATTGTATTAGTTTCAAAATGTACTTGTAGGATGAAACTGCAGTAACTTTAGTTAGAAATACAAATTTCAAATATATGTAGTGTAAAAACAGAGGAAATTTTTTCTCATTTTCATTATTCTCCTACTACGTGGTAACGGCTACATCCATCAATTTATCTATTACATTTCGGTTAACGGATATCTCAATACTTTCCCTCCATATACGCCACTGATTTGCTACTCTCCAAATTACTGCACGGTGGCTTGCATATTGCAATATTGATAAGGATGACGTTTATCAGATGTACAGTGAATCATTTCCAATATTGAATTCTCAAGTGAAAAATTATGGGAAACATTTCCCAAGGGTTCCAAAGTTTCTTGTGAGTTCTAGTGAGTTCCATTGTTTTGAAATAGTGCTGTTGGTACTGACAGTTGGCAGAATTTGTGAAGAAATCTTTCAGAATAAGTCCAGAGGATTTCATGAATCAAGGGGGAAAAATAATTCAAAAGATAACGAAATCACCGCTAATTTGAATGAGGTGACGTTTGGTCTTAGTTTATCTGCAATTTCCGCCAAGATGAATACTACATTTTCGAACCATTCCAAAAAAGAGAGAGGGTAAGTCAAATTTATTTTCACGGAAATATATTATGCATTCATGCAAATCAGTCCATTTCAAGTTCTGGAAAATAGATTAGGAGAAGCTGTGGAAAATGGTTCATCAACATCTTTCGCTTATGTATGACTTGTTTAAAATACCTCTTCCTCATATCCAAAATTTGATATTATAATTTCGAACCTGAAATATGTTAACCCAAAACAACCTGACCACCAGTTTCTATTCATTTTCGGTTTTCAATTTGATTTTGAAAACAACATGAAATGTGCAATTACACCGATTACAAGTTGAGTTTGACATGAATTAATTTTAATGGCGTTCAACCAGGGGTTCAGGGTTCAACCAGCGAGGACAGGCGAGGCTACTACCCGGGTCCTCCAGAACAGAGGGGGCCCCACATTGAAGATAAAAAAAATATTCAAATGTTAGCGGGTCAGCAACTTTTTTCCGAAACATGCTTTTACATTTTCATTAAGGATACTTGAACGAATATAATATTGTTAATATCAGAGAGCCCTGATTGCAAGTTTCCATTTACTATCAATTTCATTCGATCGAGCATGCCAGTGGCGATATTTTTTTAATGTTTGATTTGTGATTTGTACCCATAAGTTGAAGAGGAATGAAATATTAAAAAATTCGGAAAAACAGTTGACCCTGCAGGTCAGACTACAGCTCCGGGAGCTAGATTTCAGCGAAATCATTAACGACTTTTCGTCTGTGGGTTGGATTGTATGTAGTTTGGTGGTACATGTAATCCAATGTGTTTGCCATGTTTGTATCATCGTTTGTCGAGCTGCTGATTTCAAGTCTTGGTGGAGTTGGATTTGCTCCTCTGGCAAGTCGGAGGAACAAACTTCTTTCGCTGCTTGGTCTGCAGGTTCGTTGCCCGTAATTCCTGCATGAGAAAAGATCCAGATGATACTCACATAGACACCTCTGATACGATGGTGGTGGCAGGTGTCCCGGATATCTTTAACCAAAGGATGTGAGTAGTTATTTCTGATGGAGTATGTTGATGAAAGGGAGTCTGTGCATTTGGTAAGTTTACTGTTATCTTGTACTGTAGACCTCAATGCTTATAGTATTCCAAATAGTTCAGCTGTGTGTACACTACTGAAATTGGGAAATTTTTATGTTGCTATTAGTGTATCGAGTGTGATAACAGCACATTCGGTACCATTAACTTCTTTGGATACGTCAGTATTGAGGATGTTGTCGAATTGCTGGTTATTTATCAGTTCTCTGAATCTTTGTATGAAGACTGTGTTAGGCGTATCGCGCTTATTGTAGTTGTTTAGGCATGTGTTCAATAATGTCGGTTTTTTAGTCCATGGAGGAGTTTCAGAAAGTTTTATAAGAGTTGTAGCTTGTAGGTTGGTGTTTCTTGGAATAGGGTATGATAATTGTGGAGGTTAAACGTTCTGGGTCTGTTTTTGGGAACTGTTTGTATAGAATCAATCAATGTAAATACCGGCTTTCGTGGGTAAGCAGATACCCTGCAGGAATAGAATAACAACTGGGATTTTCGTCGCATAAAGAGAGGTGGTTCAGAGGATTCAATATGAATGCTTTCCGTCATAGTGCTGTGGTTTGGATTGTGTCAAGGTATGTTTTGCAGGCATTCATATAAAGGATAATTCCGTAATCCAGCTTGGAGCGGACTAATGATCTGTAAGTCCTTATTAGTATTTCTTCTTCTGCTCTCCATTGGTGATGAGCTAATGATTTTAAAATGTTGATACGATTCGGACAGTTAGCTTTTGTCTCCTGAATATGTTGTTTCCATGTGAGCCTTTAATCAAAGATAACTACCTAAGTCCTATGTTGATCAACGTCTAGTAGCTGGTCCCCATTTAGATCTAGTTGTAGAGGTAGAGGATTAAGTCTTTTGCTAAATCTGTTTCTTTTCAAACTCTGTTTGTACGTTAACCAGCTGTCGCACCCCTACGAATGACAACCCTCAGAAGTCGAAACTTGTGCGAGCTGAGGATTAACGAGGTCTTTCCTTTTGACGTGTGATTCCTAAACTGGATTACTTTAGATTTAGATGTTGAAAAGTGACAACCGGATTTGAGAGACCAATTGCGGATGCTGTCTAGGGTCTTCTGAAATGAGTCAACAGTCAACCAATTTCCAGGGCCGTAATTCAAAAGGGAATAATTCACACAATTATAATCGAATATTACCGAAAAATCCCGAAATATAAAATTTAATTTAATTTCTCAGTATGAAGTGAACGTCTACGATCCAAAAACTACAACAAAAAATACAGGTCCGTATTTAAAAATTCAAAGATGATGGGTGGCCCAAGTCAGATGACACCCTGTATGAAAGATTCATGGATATATTCTGAGAGACCACATCAAGTGCCAATAGAAAAATGTGGACAGATTTTCAATATGTCTGCGAATGAAGAAGATATGAGCAAAAAAATAATTTGGGATTTTTTGGTTTTTCCTGTATATCTCCAGAACCAACAGAGCTATATTCGATTTCTTCACATTATTGAATAGGTCTCTAAAATACGCAACTTTGCCATAATTTAACCGACGCTCTATCTCTTATCGTTTACGAGATCCCCATGCACAGAAACGAATTTGAATAGCCCTGTATATCAAATATTACTATTCTCAGTAATAATTCAACAGAAAAAAAACTTGATATAAAATGTACAATTTCAAACTTCGAATTATTTTTCCATAATTTCACGTATACTGTGGCTAAATATTAATATGCGATTTAAAACAAATGCACTATAATTTGAGACTATTGAATACTTATGTAACTCACTTACATTTTTTGTTGGTAATATTTCCTTCTATTATTCAAAAAAAAAGGTACAACACGAACAAAAACATGGACAATAAAAACTTTCAAAAAATGTATGCTTTTTGATGAACTATTGGGATAATAATTTCCCGCCTAATAGTTCTGCGCTAGAACGACATTTCCTATATTGGCGAATAGATGGCAGCACATGCATTCTTATGTATACTTATATCTTGGGAAGATGTTTTCCCCGTAAAACATTAGCTGCCTGACTTAGATATGGTGGGAAAATATTATACCAGTAAACCTTAAATTAACCCTTAATACGCGTAGTCTAAAGTGTAGGATTCACAATCGCAGTCCAATTCAGAATAGAAAAATGAGTGCTCACATCGAAATTACTCCAGGAACATTCCATGATGCAATGTATACATTTTTTCAGGGATAAAACACAAGCACTACCGAAAAATCCTTAGGGCGCTCTAAAAGCGGTGCCTGTGGATTCGAATCGCTGGAGATTAAATCCATTCAGAAAAACGTTCTCAGAAAGTTTATTCCATATGAACGCAGTTCTCCAAACGAGAAAGTTCTTAAACAGTGAAGTTCGAGGTGTACCTCAAAACGATGAGAAGCCACAGTCCATCACGTATTTTGTGACAAATGTGACAAGTCACTTGAACACTTCTATAAAAGAGAGACAAATCCCCAACCATTCTTCGATGTTCCAGACCATCGAGGTTGCAAGTGATGTTCGCGTCTCCAATCAGATGATTTGAGTGGGTCTTTGCTGTCTTTTGCTGATCTCATCAGATACTCCGATATTTTCGTAGTTGGTTCGAAGTCGATGTAAATTTTCTTCTTCTTTAGATTTTTGGACTCGGTTGGTGTTACCTTCTATGTATGGTGTTTCTCTTTTCACTGGTGTTTCTCTTCTTCTCCTTCGAACGCATAACTTGGATTGAGTCTTTTCTGTCGTAGCCGTTGTAACACAGTTGTTAGGTGTTTTATTTCGTCGTCGACGTACCTTTCTTCACATATTCCCAAATCTCTGTTCACTAGGGTGTTGATGACGGTTCGTTTATGTTTTGGATGATGGTTGGATCTATTACGTAGATATCGATCTGTATGTGTTTTCTTTCTGTTCACCTTATGGTCTAGTTAACTACCTTTCCTGATGGCTAAAACATCAAAGAATAAAAACAATACTCCAAAGATGGTCTAATTTGAGCTTTATGAAGCATCAAAAGTTGCTGAGATGTGTACAGTTTTCTGGTTCGGAACAGTGTTCCATGCTTTTTAGAATTTGTAAATAAACTTCATCATCTTCAGAAAGTGAACATTTTGGAATGCTTTGGAGTGAGTTTTGAATAAAGTATAGGTAATGATTTTGTTTGCAAATTCATAAAAACATGAAACTGCTAATTTCTCAGTGAGGGATGGTCCGATTTTGAAAATTGAGTCAGTGTTGGACAGACACTCAAAATACCTTTCAAAAGAGGTATCATAAGAGACCCGTAGTAGCACTCTCTTGGCAACGATTGATGAAACATTATCGTTCTACTTAGAAAAAAGTACTAACTGCCCTCTTTCGTAAATATCGTTCCGTTCAAAACTTTCCTCTCCTCTTATAATTGTTTTTTCTCACACATTTGCGATATAAAGGTTTTTTTTTTCAGAAGAACGAGCATCGAAGACATGATCCGAAGTGAATACTTTTGGTATTTAATATTATTTGTTGTATTACCAATTATGATACTAGCATTGCGAAAAGTTATTCAGGATTGCTGCAGAAGAAGAGAACCAAATAATGACATGAATGGAGCCATCAAAAAATTTTTGCGGAGACCAAAAGTGAACGGTATCAAGTCAAATTTAAAAAAATTGTCTTCACGAACATGTACAAGATCTAGTGAGAGCGTTGATAGAGAAAACACAGCTGACATTACTCTTATGGTTGACGTTAATCGTCCAGGAAGAAGAGAAAACTGTACAACAGTTGGCAAATATTCTACAGGTATGAAGAGCTGACAACCAATAATCCCACCTATAACCTATACCTATAATCGATTATTGCAATTGGCATTCCGTCCCTTGACTCTCAACGGTTGGCAATTCCAACATTTAAAACTGAAATGGTGAAGAACTTTTTGAAATATTTCGATGGATTTTTCTATGAATTCAACAAAAATAATAACAGAAATGAATGACTAAATTGCGGATAGAGACAAACTCCAAAAAAAATAATATTTGAATTTTCAGTTCGCATCATTCACCTTTCCTCGTAGTAGGTTCCACCAAATAGCTGCTGGAAAACAACAATTCGATAGACATTTCTACAAATTTTCTCGCAGAGGAAATTCTTGCAGATACTTGTCGTCTAGAAGCAGATTCTTGCTAAAACTCACGCCAAATTCCATCAGATATGATCCATTGTCCGTCGAGGAATTAGCCAGGAAAGTATTCGTTCTACAGCAAGCATTTTACAGATCCTCTGGGTGAAAACGTTGAGAGAGGTGAATGATCCTGATTCCAATTCGGATTATTTGAGAACTGTAATTTTTTTGTCTTTTGAGTGAAAAATTTGATTCTAATGCTTGTTACGTTGTTCAACGGGGGTGGAAGAGAAATTTGGTTTTGGAATGAAAGTTGAACCCCCCTTCGGTATATTCCAAAACCGTGTTGGTAACAAATTTTTTTTTTCGGTCACTGAAAAGTTTACTCAAATGACCACTTGGCTAGCTCAGCAATTCGGGGGTGAGTATGGAGAATAAATCCACCAAAAGATGCTGTTCTTGATATTTTACAAAAATTTTATTGAATCTCTAACAGGTTTCAAATAACATACAATGACAAATATCAAGAAAGAATATGCAGTGTTTGTATCAACCCAAAGTGTTTTGAGGGGTATTTCTCAAAGCAGTGTGATCACACCTGATTTGAGCACGTTACTTAACAGGAAATAAGTCCAATAAATCTATCAATAATAATTCTATTCTAACACTGAATCATTTACAAAACTCAGTAATCACAAATTTGATACAAATCAAAGTTACACTTGAATGATAAGGGCAAAATAACAGTTTGATGCAGCACTTTCTATGAATTAGAGGCGGCAAATCATGTTAAGGCAAGTCTCTAGTACTCGTAAAGCGTTAAGGATGCTAATGATTACGCAATGTATTGTTAAACAAACTGAATCGGTGTCAAGCACAGCTGCGGCAAGCTTTAGGCATTCATGAAGCTATAATAATTGATCAAGTGTGTTTATATGCCGCGGAATGCAGCAAGATACAGCGGAATGCAGCAAGATACAGCGGAATGCAACGATGCAGCGTGCATGCAAGCTCACGATGGTATTTTCTAGGTTGTGACATGTATTGCACCAGTTAGGCCATAGCAAAAAAAATCGAACTCACCAGAATAAATCAAATGAATAATGTTACTGCTACTTATCATGTGCCTCCGTGATATCCAATTTAAATGCAATATTTAACAATGGCTGGTGGTCTGAAGCGGCCGTTTCGAGAAGCTAGGACAAAACACCAAATCCGACCTCTTGTCGGGATCCCGTACCAGTAAACTCCTTGTACTCTTACTCGGGACTATCGAGTCTTTCCCTTACGAAACCCAAAATATTTTGGAATGCAACAATTTCTCCAAATTGTTAACAAAATTAGGAAAGACCTCTTGTTTCTTTCTCGTCTCCTCGAACGCCCTCTTCCTTTTCTTCCCTCCCCTCATAACCTATTTCCGCCTTTCGAATTCCTATTTATTGAAATTCCTCATATAACACTCTTTCTTGCCTTTAGACTTCCTATAATTGATCAAGGTGATTGTTTGAATGTTCAATAACGGTCACCTTTTACGTAACAAAGCTGCAGCTATTTTGTAATTCGCCTGAATCAAATTTTACCGCCAGGAAGTAAACCTGACTAGTTCGGTAGTCGATCTTTCTCGACCGGCTTGCGAACTACGACGGCAGCAAATAACACCTATGACAAAGGCAACATCTAGGTTTTGTTTACTTTTCCAAATGCGCCAATTGAATATCAAAACAGGAATGCCAAGTAAGTATTGACAATTGTAACATATTGGCCTTCCCTCTACACTCATTATTTTCATCTCTTTATATAAATAAATGAAGATATTTTGACTTTTCTTCCTTTTCTGGAGTACCAAGTTAGTTTATAATAATATATTCCTATAAAATGTTCCTTATCAAAGGTAGACAACCAACCCTACTTGGCAGTTGTAGGGTGGGCTGCCTGTCTAAACTGATATTAGTGTATTTACATAGAATAAAATAGCCTAATGTTACTTAGCGGGAAACCGGCACGTAACATGTTTCCTACAACTGAAGGGCAAAATGATGGAGTAGAATTGGCGTGAAATTATAGTCAGAAAATGAATTTCAAATTCCAAAGCAGTTCAGTTAGCAAGAATTCTAAAGGAAATTCACTTCTCTCACAAATTTGTGCAGTATAAAAAGTTCTGTAGTCATTTTTAAGTAGAATAATTTGATGAAATTATGAAATAATTATCATGATTGTTAGCTGTATTTTCAAATGAAAATTCATTTCAATGTTACATATATGTTAAAGAATGTGATAGATAAAATAACAGATAATTTGTAATATATCACATAACTCTCGAACAGGTAGATCGTTATCCTGAATACAAGGCAGGTTATCCAGTGAAAAAGTTACCATTTACTCAAGGGCAAAGAAAGATAAAAATATATTGCTCACAGTTAGTTACCATTATCAATTCTCTATCTCTTTCTTCATATTCTTCTTCTTCTAATTCTTGAATATATTGCAGATTGTATGGAGGAACTATCATCGCAACCAATAAGGAGAATTCGCAAATGGATTGAAAAAAAAATTTCTAACGAATATTTCATACCCATGGAGACGATAAAATCAAGGATTGAAGAAGTCTAGTACTGACTGTTTTCAAAATCACTTCGGTTGTATGTCCTTAATTACGAAAGCGTTGAAATACCACAGAACTTTTTTTCATAACTGACATTTCAAACTAACGATTATCTATCTTACTGTTTAACTTCCCGATAATAATTTATAATTTAGGCTGTTGAAAATGGACCTTCCAGTTTGATGTAAAATAATCTCAATCAACCGTTCAAACTAGTATTCATTCATTGTCATTGTTCGGTTGAAGTTCAAAATACTTTATTCGTTAATGAAGACGCTCAACGACTGGGACGTTTGGACAAATTTCATACATTACATATTAATCAAAAGGAACAAAATAGTACCGGAGTATACTTCCCTTCGCCATAAAATATCAATTACTCCATTCAATAGCTGAATGCAAAAAAAGCTCATCTTCTAACGAAATTCCAATAGAATTTTTACTTCATTTCAATTTCGAAGTTTTGCATAAATCTCTCATTCAAGTCGCATCATTTACCTCACAACTGTCTTCACTGTTCACTTTTCAAAATAGGCAAACGTGAGGAAAAAATCTGCGCCTCTACCAAAGTAATTATAAAATGTTTCCATTCGTTTTCGACAAAATCGTCTCTGTCGGTGGTGTAAAATAATAAATATTTTTTATCACGAGATTTTTTTCAACTTTCCTAATTTATAATATAATGTTGTGAAAAGTTGTTGTTGAATTAGTTTTCATTCATTTTTTCTCAGTTACCAGGTGACTCATCTGTCATATTCATTTTGGTCTCAATGTGTTTATCAACAATAGATTTATTTATTTATTTATTCAACGGGTAGTGAAAATTAAAATTTGTTATAAAAAAAAGAGTTTGTTAAATCTTAACTAATGAAAGGAGAAATGTAAATTTCTATGTTTTTCACCACTTTCAATTGTAACTAACGTTACTGCAGTTTCGTCCTATAAAGACATTCCCAAACTAATACAATAAACTAACAATGATTCTTACATTCGCCAATTTATACCATTCAGGTACTTGATTGAGTACCTGAATTTACAGTTCACAATGCGGATGTGTCAATTTAAAATTGAGTAAATAAAATCGATTTGATCATTTAACAGGTTGCACCCGCAATGTTTATGCTTGTAAATTTCCAAGGATTCTAAATAATTGAGTTTGCAACCCTTCCTTGCATAGTGCAGAATTTCCGTATCGTTTAGACTTGTGGTTGCATGCCAAGGAATGGTTTAAAAACGTCGAATCATTTTTTCCTAGTCTGAAGGACCTTTCATGTTCAGCATACCGTCTTTGGAAATTTCGTCGGCATTGTCCCACATAAACACTATTACACTCCGAACACTTAAGCTTATAAACTCCAGATTTTTCCAACTTGTCGACCTTATCTTTGGCATTGAAAAGGAAATGAGATAACCTGACATGTGGTCTAAATGCTACTTCCACATTGTTTCTTCTGAAGAAACCTGCGATTATTTCTGTTTTTTTCCAAAATATGTTAGCGTTACCCATTTTTTGATTTCTGTTTGTTTGACCTGAGGGTATATCAATCTGTGAGTGAATTTCCGGCTTTGTTTCCTGACTAACTTCTGGATAGTATCTGCGTTGAAACTGTGTTAAATTGGCACATCCGCATTGTGAACTGTAAATTCAGGTACTCAATCAAGTACCTGAATGGTATATATTGGCGAATGTAATGAATTATTGTTAGTTTATTGTATTAGTTTGAGAATGTCTATATAGGACGAAACTGCAGTAACGTTAGTTACAATTAAAAGTGGTGAAAAAAATATAAATTTTCATTTCTCTTTTCATTATGATCTCCTACCACGTAGTAACGGCTACATCCATCAATTTAAATCTTGACTAAATCAGATTTAGATTATACAAGAGCCTAAAATCTGTCAGTCGATCCAATAAACGACGTCTTCGTGAGAGAGTCGTCATCACCATCAGTTACTGACACTAAATATGTTACAAAAATCGGTACTATGAAAAATTGTAGCCTATGAACATGTCAAATTGTGGAAGAGAACAATTACATTCGATTGTCCACAAAAAAGAATAGAAACCAACTTTGAAATGAATTTTATCGTAGCTCCAATAATTTCATATTCGTTTCAGTTTCAATGTAACATATTTGCAAATTATAATAGGTATGTATGCCGTATTTTAGAAAAATGGTGACTTCCTTGAAAAAAATATTTCTACAAAGAATTTTGAAATGAACAGAAAAGTAATTACTTTATCATGATATTAAGGATCCCATAGATATAAAAAAATGTTTCTGAAATAATATCGAATTCTACGATGAAATAAATATATAGTAAGAAGTTAACCCAGCTAAAATTTTATTAGCAGCAAAAATACTTGCTGAAATCCACTATTCTATTTGTACACAAATTTTTTGTGATTGAAATTTCCATGGTGTTTCTTCTTCCAAAAGGCACAGTGACGGTATATTCCAAAAAATATATAATTGTACTATGTTATTTTTTGGATGAACTTCATCTTTAATTTAAACATGAAAAGATATGTATACATGTAGAATAGAAGAAAACACAGTGATAAGGCAGAAAACTAGAAAAAGTAAGGTGGATATTATTGACTTGTATATATTTTCACGCCATCTCAAAGAGTTTTGAGATTATTATTAGTTCATATCCTTATTCATATAGCAATATAGCACTCCTTATGTTCAAGATTCATATCACTACTAACATTTTAATTTTTTTGTTTTGATATATTTTTGTTTTGAAGGTTATTTTTGGTTTCTCGTCAAGTAAAAAGTAGAGCTGAAAGATCTATGAGAAAATGAGAACAATTAGATGTTTGTGTCTGAGTAGGATACAATAAATAACCTTATTTATAAATGGGTGGTGTCCTTTCTGTAAATTGTTGCTAGTGAATATTTTGTTCCATTATTGTTACGTTATATCAAATTATAAAAGCATATTTGAATTTGTTTAGATGATTTTTGAAGTATCCTGACCTGCATCCTTACTATTTTGGAAAATTGTTAGGTAATTGTAATGTTCGAAAGAGGTTATTGTCAACAATATTACTGATTACTTTACTTCTGACCACCACTTTTGTATTGAAATAGTGATGGTTCAAGCCCTATCATATCAATGTGAAAAATATATATGAAAAATGATAGATAACTCCTTGAATTGGTGTCAGCTGGAATTGAGCGTACTGGGAGTGAATTATGAAATACTAAAGTCTGCAATTTCTTGATTGTTTTCTGTACCCATAACAAATAACTAATTCACTTTCTGGAGATACTTTAATGCATTTTCAGAAAGAGAACTGAGTGCTGAATTAACAAAATACTATAATATTTCTATAAGAATATTATGAATCTGTGAGTGCAGCACGAAAATAGCTGTTTGAAGGTGGTTGACAATGTTTTGTGGTGTATTTCATCAGTTCAGACTTCCATCGTCTAATATAATATAAATTGATTTGAAATCCCTGAAAGAATCTGTAAAAAATTAAAAAGATTAACCGAAAATATAACAATTTTATCAAACAAAAATTTGAACTTACAAGCAACAACCAAAAAAAAATAAAAAATTGAAATATTGATATAAGCTGAAAATGAAAAATTAAAAATATTATTAACAAAAAATGAAAATTAAAAGTTAAAAGATTCCAAACCAAGATACGTCACGACGTTTCGATTGTTAGTATCCACAATCGTCTTCGAGTGATAACTGGACACAAGGAGGAACACTGGTTGAAAGAAAATTCAAAGAAGCCGCGTATATGTTGTGCAACAACGCATTCAACTAAGCTAGCGTAGAGATACGTAACATATGGAAACTTGAATGACCTATAAATAGTCAGATCTCGGAGGAATAAGATAAACACTCCAATCTAGCAGACCACTATTATAATCTTCATGCAGTCATTGTTCACTGTGGTTCTGGCGTTGAATCTGGTCATTATTACGTATTGGTCAAAGATGAGAAACGGACTGGTTTAAAGTTTAACGATAGTCGTGGCACTAAGTGTTCTGGCGATGTCTTGAATATATTGGAGCCTCTGGAGACACCCTACATTTCATTTCATGGAAGAGAGGACATTGGTAGTTCAAGATCTTCAGATGATCAGGTGCTACAGGTTTTTTCGGGTTTTCCTGCAGCTGAAGAACCAAATGCGCTACTGGAATCAATGAAGTCACCCCGGAGCGCCAATTAATTTTTGTTGTTTCAGAATTTCATGATTTGTATTACTTTCTTCTTTAAATCTAATACATCGTTATATTTTGGTGAAATTACCTATAGTATTAGATATGTTTCATTACTTCATTTTCTTGTGAATTAGTTGATCTGCTCGCTGTTTATCACATAACTCCTTTACTCCTTTCAAGAAATGCGATAACGTTCATTTACATTTTTCTTCATTAAAATGATACGGCTAGAACTATCTTCGTGGTAAGAGCCAAATGATCTATTTCAGTGACATGAAGTCGTAATTTTGTGTCGTTGAGTGTTTCGTCTTGTGAAGTTTTCCAAACTGGTGCTGATGAGGGAATGAAGACAAGTTTCCTTGCCCGAAATCTCGAAGTTCGCCTAAGGCTTGATTGTTTTAGGTAAGCAAAAAGACTCTTCATATTTTATGTTGCATACCGTTCCCATTCATGATATCTGTTTAAATTCCAGAACAAATGTTTGGAGTCATTCTTTCAAGTAAAAAACACACGCACTAGAGGAAAATCATCAAGGCACTCTTAGAGCATTACCTGTGCGAAAGTAATGATTCGCATTGGATTTGAATCGCTGGAGAATGAATCCATTTGGAAAAACGTTCTCAGGAAGTGTATTCTACATAAACGACGTTCTCCAAATGAAAGAGTTCTCAAACAGTAAAGTTCGAAGTGTACTGAGTTGAACCTCATAACGATGAGCAGCCAGAGTCCGTCGCGTATTTCTGATATTTATCGGTCTTGGTGGAATCAAATGTACCAAGTCACTTGAACACTTCCCATGAAAGTATCTAGAGAAGAGAGACAAATCTACAACCTTTCTTCGATGTTCCAGACTATCAAGGTTGCAAGTGATGTTTGCGTCTCCAATCAGGCGTATACTTCTTTTCTAGATGAGATTCAGCAGCTTCAGGGTATGTTTGGAGGCGGAGCTCCATATATGACGACAATACTACAAAGAGAGTCTGATATGAGCTGAATAAAGCATCAAAAGTTTCTGAGACGTGTACAGTTTTCTGGTTCGGAACAGTGTTCCAAGCTTTTGGGAAGCAGCCTTTGCAATTCCAGCGACATGATTGTGCCAATACATATTGGTGTCCATTTTAACCCTCAACAAACTTATAGAAGCAGAGAGCGGAATTGTCTGACCCGACATTATTATACCGGTTCGAAAACATTTATCTTTTTGGAGAAAACCGATGCCTGGGTTTTTGTAGCATTGAATTGAACCTGGTTACTTTCACCCCAATTCGAAATCACTTCTAGATTCTCTTCAAAATATTCAACCTCCTTCTGCCGGTGAAGATGTGCATCCGCAGCTGATGTCCTGGAATCCAAATGTAATGACAAGTGTGCTGTCGTCAGCCAAGCAATAAATTGGATTCTTGGCACAAACTGAATAGGAAAAAGTGATTTCCGTTCAATTCAAACTTCATACGTTT